TTGGTGACTATTTACTGCTGTTTTTTCATGTTGGTGATTTCAACAGTATCAACAACTAATAAGTAAATATCTCACTTGGGGAAAATGTCAAGTTAGGTCAACAGCAATCTCATTGTCACATGGCCTTAATGAAAGAATGGCCCTCAGAATGTTACTCTAAAAGGCACAAGGGATTTGGAGCTTTCGCTTACCAAGCCATGGGGCCCAGAAGCCTCTTAAAACCTAGTACCATTCTTTAAATGCACTCAGTTAACACTAATTCAGTGGTGGACAATCTGTTTCAGAAGTTAGAAGTTTTTCAGCTTCAATTGCTTATCTCATTAAGAATGTAGAGATCTGTCAGTCAGAATAGACAATATTGGGTTGACGAGCTAATAGTCTGAACTGGTTAAAAGCAACTTCCCGTGCTCTTACAATTTTCCAGTCATAAATCAACTCATAAAGCATACAGTGCATTTATCAAGGCTTTATATCAGCTATGGCACTTAAGAGTTTCTTCCTGTTCTGCTTTCCTAAAGCAAACTCAAGAAGGTTACATTAGTAGATTTATTGTACCGAATTAAGAAACCATACATACAAGCTTTCTTCTAACAACATGCACTAATCCTACCTTCCATGTTAGCCCCAAAGTTTCAATCCCTCCTGCCATTCTAAGACAGTACCTTTCAGGCTACACATTTCCTGGACTGAAGGTTATCACCATCGTGCCTTGTTTACAAAATGGCTTTCTCTGGTGTGGCTGTGAAATGAGAATTGGAGGATCCTGCCTCACCAGCTTCAATCCCCTTAAACTTAATTGAGTCTCATTAAATGTTAAATAGTTGCAAAAGAGAGAGCTAAAAGATGCTCCCCCACTCCAAAAAAGCCCCTTTCCATTGCTACCTCTTCCATGAGCATTCATTTGAATACTGACAGCTAGTTATGCCACACGAAGTAACAATCGCCTTGCTTCAGACAGTGGCTTGTGGGGGATGGGGTGTGTGTGCCTGTGTTACAGGTATTGTACATTCCTCAGAGTTCATGCCAAAATGAGGTGGTAGTTGAAAGGGGCCTTGTTGTTAACCACTTTTCATGAAAGGATTCTTTTCTGTGAACTTGCAACAGCCTGTCTTCCAGGCTGACCTTTTCCATCTGTTCTGATCTGATGGGAAATGCTGGTTCCCAAAGGCATCATATGCAAAGTAGATATAAAATACACCTACTCTACGAAGATCAGTGTTGCAATAGCCATTGGTTAATCACAGAGTTGGTTTAATGCCGTTCCCATAGCTCTGTAACTCACATACAAACTTTTATGAGTATAAGTGGCATATATATTTGCAGCATTCTTGATGAAAACTGATCTTTGACATCTACTGTCACTCTGAGCCACCAGAACTCTGCCACCTAACACAGAGTATTAAATGTGCCTCTGTGTCCAGCAACTCTGTTGTCATGGCACAGTCGCAACACTTCTTCCCTTAAAGAAGGGCATCATATAAACGGTCATTGTGAAACAGATTGCCAACATTTAAAGTAAAAGGTGAAGAATCAGTCTGTGATATCCCTGGAGGTCATCCATACAAGCCCTGACATATGCAACCATTTCTGTTGAACTCTAATCTGGTCTACAATCTGTCTCCCTGCTCCAGATCTCTCAGAAAGGTCTAACACTGGAGAAAGGACAAGTTGCTTGGCTGCAGTATTGTGGAAGGAGAAATTGAGTAGGAAAAGTCATATTCAAGTTTGCACGATTGAGCATCTGGAAGCTTTTTCTGTGAGCCAGGAGTACATATATGATATGAAAACTGAAATGAGAGAAAAATTGTGCCCATTTGACTTGCTAGGATGTGAGAGATTGTGTTTTCTGCAGAACTTCCAAATTCCACAGGTATCTATGGATAACTCTGCTTCCTTCTTGGAAGTGCCTCAATTAGTGGAATGTTGGCTTTTCTGCAAACATTTTTTTGTTTTAGATTTTTTTTTTCATATACAACTCAAAGCAGTGAACATACCAATACTCCTTCCTCCTAGTTTCCCATAACATTCCTGTGTGATAAGCTGGTCTGAGAAAGTGACTAGCCCAGCTGGTTTTTCATGCCTAAGGCAGGACTGGAACTCAGTTTCCTTGTTTCTAAACCAACATTTTAACTATTGCACAAAACTGGTTCTCTAATGTATTATATAATTATATTAACAGTATCATAGTTCCATACCTTATAGAAGCAACTCAGGCCTGAAAGTTGCAATACAATTAGATCCGCAGTTCATTTTTAATCATTTTAATAGATTAAAATAAAAATAAGCAAAGCCCAGAAATGTTCTACATCCTTTACATTTCTGTATAGTCAGGAACTGTAGCTTTCAAGATCCATTTGAATTCCTTTAGTTGATATTCTATAATCCAAAGAGTTGAATTGGGGAAGATCAAATGCAAAGTGCAATATTTGACTCTCTATCTAAGAACTCCACAATAAAACCATAAAATGATCTCTCTCCTTTCTACTTACATTCAGACATCTACAATGATCTTGTCCTTCGATTTCCACCTGTCCCAGCACCCAGATCACAATCTGGGTGATTGGCAACCCATTCACACTTATGACTGGTTTTCAAGCATTTCATGATCATGTGATTGCCATTTGCAAACTTCCCTGCTGGCTTCCCCAGAAAGTCATTTGGGTAGTGGGCAAGGAAGGTCATAAGTCACTTAGGTATGTCTCCCCCATTCTTGGCGCTCATGCCATGCCATTGCACATCCTCAGGCACCCTCCATGACACTCCCCATGCTTTTTTACACACCCTCCCCAACCTGCACTGTACCCTCATGCACACGAACCCCCACAGCACTTCTTATGTACATCCTCACACCCTCTTCAGCCCTCCCCAGTGTGCATGATGCCTCTGGCACACACCTTCATGCATCCTTCCCAATCCATGCGATGTTTCTCATGCAGTCCCTTGCTGCCTCAATCTCTGCAGTGCCTCTTGTGCATTCTCTTTCAGCCTTGTGCGTCCTACCTTACCCTCACTGATACACTGTTGCTGCACCTCTTGTGCAGCCTCCCTAGTGCAGCCCCCCTGCACCCCTAATGAACCCTCACCAACACTCCGCCATCTGGATGCACCTGCCTGCAGGCCTGAAACTTGTAATACATTTAGATCTGCAGTTCATTTTTAATCATTTTAATAGCATAAAAGCACTGACTTCTTCACTGGCAACTAAGATTGCAGGGATTGCCATCACTGAGCAATGCAATTGTGCTCCATGACCACATTGCTTAGCAACATAAATTCTGGTCCCAATTGCCCTTGTAAATTGAGGACTATCTGTATAGGCCAGATCAGGAAACAGACTCCACAGAATTACTGGGACTTTATTTTTACAGGATAGAATTACCAAATCTTGAAAGCCTTGACAGCATCTTTCCTCCCTCCCTTCTCTTACTCAGGCGGAACTGATCTGAATTTCCTTCTAATATTTTCTTCCTGTCCTGGATTTAAATCATGTTTTTTCAACTGCAGTCACATAATTTTTCCAAGATTATATCTGTGATTCTCTACAATTTCTGAAGAAAGAAAGTTACCTAAAACTTCCTGGTCCAATCGGCTGAGTTTGGGTTTATTTTTATATTTTAAATATATACAGAGTATACCAAGGTCCCATAGACCAATCACAATATTTTATTTATTAATATAAATATTGTTTTCCAGAGAAAATGTACTAGGAATACACTAGGAATATTCAAATGTGATGCATCAAAGCAGTATGCTAGAATAAAGTGGCAAGCAACTCATTTATTGTAATATAGTACCATGTTTCTCCAAAAAGAAGGCCGGGTCTTATTTTCTTTTGACCCCCGAAAAAATGGCTAGGCCTTCTTTTTGGATGGTTCTGATTATTGACTCACTTCGTGGCGGTGGCACCAACAGCCCTGCCCAACAGGAGCCCGCTGCTGGCCCACTTCTTCTGTGGCCGTTTGCTGCCACTCACACGCATCGCTCCGGCCTCCGTTTTGCTTTCAGATGCTTGCTGGAAGGCATCTGAAGGCGAAACGGAGGCCGAGGCAATGCATGTGAGTGGCGGCAAGTGGAAGAAGGCAAGGCAGATGTCTGGGTATGCGAGGTCTGGTAAGTAGGGCAGATCCACCACCCCCATCCCCACTCCAGCTTATTTTTTACCTCTGTGCCTTGGCCCACCTCCTGCACCCTGGAGCGGGTGGGTTCTTAATTAGAGCTAATTTTGTAGGTGGGGCTTAATTTGATTGCATGCTCTCAAAAATGTGATAGGGCTTCTTTTCAAGGTGGGTCATCTTTTTGGAGAAACACGGTATATATAATAATTTAATTTCTATGGGGCCTGACTTTTAGTACAACCTGTATATATTTAAGCTATTGAATCAGATGATCCAACTACTTTTATAGACAGTTTTCTTATTTCTATTCTAATTAATGGATTTGTTGTTTAAACTTATCACTCGTATCCACAAGGCAAATGATAATGTGTGTGATGACATTATACAAATGCTATGACTTATGTACTTGCATTAGAAAATTGGATGCAAATAAGTGTATCATTGTATGATAACGTCCTTGTATATCTGGCATCAGTTTGCAGTAGATTCTCCAGAAATGATATATTAAGCATTTTTCTTGTGTGTTTGGAACAAATATTGTTACAAGATAAAATTGATATGACTTAAATATTGGTTTTAGGGATAATTTTCATTAATTTTTGTCACTTTGCTTGGATACAGTTTTCAGTTAGATTTGTATACACAACCATTGCACTATGTGTGAGCAAGGACATGAGCAACAATGTTTTGTTGGAAGGACTAACAGATACAAAGCTTTCATGAACCGGATGCACAAAATATCTTTCTCAGATGGCAGTATTATAGAAAATGCTGAAAGGAGCAGAGTAAAATTGAGGAATATTTACAGTATAGAAAGCAAGAACTGGGATAAACTGAAAACATCTATAAACTGTTTGGACTGTTTTTTCTATCTCTTTTCTTCAGATGACAGAATCTGTTCTCCGCCATTTATGGAATTAACAAATGCATGTGGAGAAGACACCTTGAAGCAAATAGAAAAAAATGGAATTGCATTCCCATTCAGTATGTGAACAGTTTTTATATTTTACTTAATAGTAAAGTTGTAAAGCATTTCCTCCACTACTGCTGAAATCAGTGCAATTTAGCTAAGTACTCTTGAGGGGACGGAGAGGACTTGCACAGGAGATAGCTAAAATAAAAATCTGTAAAGGCTATATGTGCATATCGTGTATAAAGTCCTTCTTTCTGTTATTTTCTCTTTTTCATTTTCTCTGTCTCTGCTATTTTGCAGATGAATTATCAGAGTTATTTTGGAAGTGTCTGCCTTTATTTCAATATGCATAATGTTGGTGTTGGTTTACTAGAAAAAGGCCCTAATGCCCATTTAAAATAGAGCCTTGGTAGTACAGTGGTCTAAAGCACCCTGTTATTAAGACCAGCTGCCTGCAATTACTGCAGGTTCAAATCTCGCCAGGCTCAAGGTTGACTCAGCCTTCCATCCTTTCTAAGGTAGGTAAATTGAGGATTCAGTTGTGGGGGCAATAAGCTGACTTTGTATAAATATACAAAAAGGATGAAGGCTATTGCTTAGCGCATTGTAAGCCGCCCTGAGTCTCCGGAGAAGGGCGGCATATAAATCAAATTAAAAAAAAACAAAACCAAAAACTACAGAGTAATGTTTTGTCACATTGAGAACTATTTTTTGCATTTTAAGTATGCTATACTAACATGAATCTTAGATGTACTATTATCTTATAGTTGTTTGTATGTATACTGAGAGCTTATGCACCGGAGACAAATTCCTTATATGTCCAATCACACTTGGCCAATAAAGTATTCAATTCCTATCCCAATCCTACCCTACCCTACCCTACCCTATCCTATCCTATTATAGTATATCTATTATAGTATATTAAATGTACTACTGTACATTAATGTAAATATAAATTATCTGGGCAAGTTAATAATATGCAACATCAATATATTAAACTATAGAACAATGAAAGTATTCATTTTAAATTGAGAATCTCACACTATCAATCATTTAAATGGCTCTAGTAATGTCAATAGATCATAAGGATTAAATAAGGCAAATTCCTCTAGCAGTGCTCTTCTATATTTCAGATGCCACTCCCCAAAAAGCCATCCCTTTTCATTTTGTTTTATTTGGAAAGATTTTTTTAAATAAATAACAGATGTATTAATTCCAATAGAATTAGCATAGCTATCAAAGACTTAACCCAGCTATTCATTTAAAAAGTTCAAGAACTTCAACAGTTTGTCACTGAATTATAGTGACAAGTTCTTGAAGAAGAAACAGTGACTGCATATAGTACAGTGTAGTGTAGCAGCTAAAGTGGTGGACTAATTGGGAACATCCAAATTCAAGTACCCAGCTTAACTAAGACATTTACTGTATTACTTCTGGTCAGTTTCCGTTTCTCAGACAAGTCAATCTGACAAGGTAATTGTGGGAATAAGATTAGAGAAGATCCCTGTGTAAACTGCCTCCATCTCTGAGAGCAGCATTTCTCAACTTGTTTTATATTAAAAAGTTTGCGGTCTTCAACTCTCAGAATTCCCTAACTAGCATGCTTGAAATTCACACTTCTTAAATTTAATGTACATTTGAAAAACACTGTCTTAGAGGAAAGACAGGAATATAAATACAATTGAAGAGATAATAATGGAAAGTGCTGGTGCCAGACTCCATCAATGGACCCTAGATTATCCATTCCTTTTGAGAACTTGCTTGTCCTCTTTGATGCCATCCTGGATAATCCAAGAGTTGAAGTATCAGCACCAGATAAGAGAATGCTGGTTTCAAGGGAAGGGCAGCCATAGGGCGAATATCATTCAGTTGGGTAGATCAGCTAAATCAGTAGAGTTAGTTGTTACAAATGGTACTGAAGTGCTCTGTGTATATTCTTTTGTACTGACTCACGGTTTACTTTTTTTATTACTGAAGTTTGTAAGACAAGAGTCGCCCATGGAACCAACTCTCATGAGGTAAGTATTTGTACAAGATGTCATATAATGTGTATTTAGAAAAACTGCTTTGGCTGGGAATTAAGAAAAAAACTATAGTAGTCTATCTGTGAGTTTGATTCATAAACTTCAAGGAAAAGTAAGGAGGTTTTATTCTTGTTGTCTCTCATGCATACATAGAAGTCATTCTTCATAGCCTTATGGCTTCATTAATATTGCAAATCTGTTTTTCTCTCTTTTTGAAGGCCAGTTTATACATACTCATACCCATCTGTCCATCATTTGTTTATTTATTTGCAGTTTTATAATCCATCCTAATGCACAGGTTTTAGGCAGCATTTGTCAAAATAGAACATAAAAGAGAAAGACATAGAATGAATAAATACTCCAAGATGATTGCCATTAAATAATGATGACTTGGGTAAAAAAATAATGGAATAGGATATTGACAGCTTTACAAAATGCCAGGGGGAGAGCGGAGGGGGTTACAAAAGCCTATGAAGAAAAGGCATTTGAAAATATGGGAACTATAACAGAAAAGTCCTGTCACTTAGTCTTCTTAAAGAGGGTGGAGGGGCAGGGGGAAGGTAGTCTCAAGGATCTTCTCACAATGTTTCTACTTCATGAATGGGTTTAAGTATGGCAAAGAAATGCCTTCTCTAACATAGTGCAATGCTACATAGGACTTTATAGTTTATGATCCGCACTTTGAGTTGAGACCAGAAGCCTACTGGCAACTAGTGGGAAGACTTTGACAATGGTGCCAACCTGCAGTGATGAGTTACTCTGTCATTGGTTCAACTGCCACTTATGAACTAGCTGCAACTTCTGGGTCATCTACAAAGGCATCTCATCTCAATTTGGTAGATGATCTCAGTAGTTTCACAGACATGTTAAATAACATAGGGGAGAGCACCAAACCCTGTGAGGTTTTCATTGGAGAAACTATAGAATTGTCATCTTCCTCACCCCAGTGATCCAAACTGGATACAGATAGTCCTTGACTTACAACACTTTATTTAGTGACTGTTTGAAGTTACAATGGAACTGAAAAAAGTTACTTATGACCATCTTTCACACTTATGACCATTGCAGCATCCCCACGATCACGTGATTTATATTTGGATGTTTGACAACTGATTCACATTTATGATGGTTACAATGTCCCGGGGTCATGTGATCCTCTTTTGCAACCTTCTGACAAGCAAAGTCAATGGGGAAGCCAGATTCACTTAACAACTGTGTTACTAATTTAACAACTACAGGGATTCATTTAACAACTGTGGCAAAACTGCCTATGGGTTTGCGCCCATAGGGAGGGCCTGCTCAGTGTGCCGTCAGCGAGACAATGTCGGCTGGCGGCCCCCAGGGGTAGAGCCTTCTCTGGGCACGCCCACCCTCTGGAATCAACTTCCCTTGGGGCTTCGGCTGGCCCCTGACCTTCGCACCTTTCACCGTGAATTAAAAACTTGGTTATTCGAGTCCCCCGGCCTGGACTGATGGGGTTTTTTACGGGTTTTTAATTGTATCTGATTCAATTAGGCATTTTAACTTGCATTATGGATTGTGGTTTTATTGTTGTGAGCCGCCCTGAGTCCGTTGGAGATAGGGCAGCATATAAGCCTAATAAAATTAAATAAATAAATAAATAAAACTCACTTAACAAATGCCTCACTTTACAACATAAATTCGGGCTCAATTGTGGTTGTAAGTCGAAGACTACCTGTATTCTCACTGAGAGCACTGAAGTGGAGTACATTCTTGATGAACATATCTTTTCTTTTATGTACACTGAGAGCATATGCACCAAGACAAATTCCTTGTGTGTCCAATCACACTTGGCCAATAAAAAATTCTATTCTATTCTATTCTACATCCAACGTAGGTGGTGTAGGGTCACCACATAGGTGACCCTACAGATAACATGGACAATGTTTCTAAATGCTGCCAAAAGTTCTCACAAGACCAAGAGAAATATCCTGATCCAATAAAGGATCTGTGAAGGTCATGTAGAATGATGACTACCATTTCCATCCCATTACATAATTGCTTTATTCTGTATTTTATTGTAAACCATTTTGAGATGCTTTGGCGTAATGAAGCAGTAGACAAGCATAATTAAATTTGGAGGAAAAGCTAAATAAGAAATCAGCTGCAAGTTAGAGAGACAGATTGCCAAGTGTTTCCAACTGGATAGCACAGTTCTGCATCTTCTGTTTATCTGAATACTTGGCTTTTATGCAGCTGGACCAAGCCAGTATCTTAAACACTTCAACATTATGTGTTTTATAGTGATCAAGCAACTGCATTCAAGAGGCTCACAACAAAAAGAAAGGAAGGCAATAATGTTCTTCCGTTCCTGCTCCCTATATTAGCTTGTATTTAAGTTTTGCTATCTCTAATCAAGAATAATAAACACCAATAACCCAATCTTTCATCAGTTTGTTCAATCCCTTTTAAAACCATCTGAATGTATACTAATGCTGGCAGCAGCGAATAATTGTATGTATGTATGCATGCTGTGCATACTGCTACTGGAACCACCAAATACAATGCTTGTTTATGTGAAACATGTATTTTTCATCTGTACGACTGTAATTGCAAGTCATATCTTTATTTTTCAGATGGCTATCATATTCAACCGGGAAGGCCTGAAAGCCATCCAACCTCCATGTGTGATTCAAAGTTTCATCAACCACAATGCTGTCCTGTACAAAGTCTTTGTGGTTGGGGAGTCATATACTGTGGTGAAGAGGCCCTCTGTGAAGAACTTCTCAGCAGGCATTTCTGGTAAGCTTTGGGAATAGTAATTCAACACGATGTACTAATGGGAAAATCTGAAGAACACCATTTTCCATTTTGGTGAATCCTGATCCAAAACATGTAGCGGACATCAGGTTGAAGAAGATTGAACTCGGTGTTTCCCTGACTTTTTGGATTTTTTGATATTTTTTTAATTTGACCCTTATGCTCCTAAACCCTTGTAGCACTAATTTCTTTGGGAGATAGCAACTGTTCTTGCCAACAGCTGCTATGTACATTCAGATTTACGTACGAAAGTACTAATCTCAAAGTGGAGAAAAAGGGGAGGACATCACAGACTTCTTCCTAAAAGAAGCAAGTCAAGATGCAAGCAGACGAGATTGTTTTGACTAGGAACTCCTACATGTTTTTAATTCTGTCTAGCTTCCACAGAGGTTTTAAGATTATGGCATCATAAATCTTCTGCTAGATGCAGTTGGTTTCAAGTTCTATTTGATACTTGACCCTGACCATCTCCACTGAACTCTTCCTCTTAAGAAATTTGGAAAATTCTTCCCTGCATGATATGTACATTCTACCTGAACTTTATTGTAAGCGCCCAGAGCAGTGGTGGGTTGCCCCTGGTTCAGACCAGTTCACAAGAACCGGTAGTAAAACCGGCGGGAGGCTCCGTCCACTGACCCAGACATCATCATAGGTGATCTGGGCATGTGCAGAAGCTTCTGCGCATGTGCAGAAGAGCACGAGCGGGCGCGATGCGAACTGGTAGTAAAGGTAAGTAGAACCCACCCCTGGCCCAGAATCACAATTTATGAAAAGGGCAGTTATATGAATATGATTGATTGATTGATTGATTGACCATATTATGATCTTTCTTGAAGGCTTTGATATTTTATTCATATGCTATTTGCTTGAAATCATACTAATGAAATTATTACATTGGTTCATAATATCTAGATGGTCTGATTATGATATATTTTTCAAGATAAATGCCCTGAGTTAAAATGTTCTGTGATTTCATTTATTTATTTACTTTACTCCCTATGAACAAAACATTTTTGAAACTGTAATAGGTCTGCTTTTTATTTAACTGTTTATGTTGAATCACTGTGTTGATTTATAAATACTTTATCCAAAGTCAATTATGCAAAATAACAAGATGAAATATTTTTAAAAAGATATTTGCCAAAGTCACAAATTCTAAAAATAAATACACATCAAGATAACAAACCATAATATCAAAAATGATTAAAATTGGTATGAAAAGTTTAGTTTTCTTTGAGTTCAGTTCAATTCCTAGTGTACATGTATTTTCTTAAGGTTTGTCACTAAATGCTGCAGGGTAATTTTTTTACTTTATCATAGACTACAGTTGTGATTATTCCTAGTAGTCTCCTGTTCAAACAAATAATCCTGCTTTTGTTTTTTGTTTAGATATTCAGCATGCATGTAGCACTTAAAATATTCTTCAGTTCAGTACATTATTCAACTAAAATTTAAATGTGGTAGATAAACAGAGGGATTATCTACTGTATAATATATTTAAAAACTGTTTCTTCCATTAATTGAATGATAGCTTTTTAATAATAAAATTATTCCTACATTCCTTCAGGACTTTCAAAAAGTTCCATTGTGGAATGGTCACATTCAAAATAGATGTATGGTAGTCCTTGACTTACAACAGTTCATTTAGTGACCGTTTGAAGTTACAACGATAGATTTTAGCAAGATGAATATTTATTTTAGATTTTTTTCTTCATACAATGCATAGTTAATTTTTGACTTCTGTTTGCTACGTTGTAGCAATACCCATTAATACCAGTGACTTTTAAAGAATCTTACCCAAATTCAGAAATAATAAGGCTGTCAGGTGCACTCAATTGGGATGTTTTGAATTTCCTATAATTTTGGGAATAATTCCAGAAAATATAATTTAATAAGTTTGATACTTTTTTACTTATATGCTGACAATAGCAACAATGACACCATTGGAAAAGTCCCATTGTGCCAACAATGCAAGATTGGGGCAGCAATAACAAAACTGACAATATATATTCATAATAAAAATTTAATCAAATTTAAGCAAGAAAGGCTTATATACAGTGCATTTCCCAGCAAGGCATATTCAGACATTTGGAATATGGCTTTTAGAAAAAGAGACTAATTTAAAACAACAAACAAAATTACGAAGCGACATAAGCAAAAATCTCAAATATTTAATATTAAGTAATAAAACCATAGCATAAATATTAAAATTGTGTATAATTATTGGAGAAGAGAATGGGAGGAAAGAGTGAATATGTTACCAAAATTACCTTTCACGATGTGTTTACTTGTGATCTACTTTTCCTCTTGCCTTTTGTATCTTTATGCTTTGCTTTTTTGTATTCTTTTAGCTTATGCAATGTAATAGAAAACATTGGAAGTAGTTTGATATTGTTAATCAACAAATACTATTTAGAGTGGTTCGTTAAACCCTATAACCTTATCCAAGTTTTCAGTTTAAATACATATAAGTTTTAGTGCCAATGCACACTTCGCTTTAGCCAAAAATTACACCTTTATTTTTTTAATGTTTCAGTTGTCACCTGAAATGAAAACTTGGGACCATGAATTCAGTGGCTAGAAAATGATTCATCTTCTGCTTATTTCTAATGAATCAATGAATACATCTTCATTCTTTTGGGAGTAGTTCAGATATGACTAATTATTTACATGGGCAAATAGGCTGCAGTATCAGAAACTCTTGATTTCTTGATTTGTCTATGTGATTGATCTACTACTTGAAATCTAACAGACTCTAGGTGGCTTACAGGATTTCTTGCATAAACACCGTGCAAAATTAATATTAAAATCAATTATATAATAAAACTCATAATCTAATTCTCCAAATTAGAGTTCTTACATAATAACTACAAATTAATTTGACATTTGGTTTGGCGCCACTGACTATAATCCCTCGAGGTCTTCTGGAAGAGCCATGTAATCACCTGCTTCTGAAAAACCATAAGGATGGGTGCCATCCTTGTTTCAGGGGGCAATCAATTCCAAAGGAGGTGTGCTGCAGAGAACATCCCTTGTCAGGTCACCTCCCATTGTATTTTGTGATACACAGGGATCCTTAGGTGCTCCCTAGTTCAGATGGGACAGTCCAAAACCATATGGGGGAGGGAAATGGTCTGTATAGTATGGTCCAGAGGATACAGCTTTACAGTGACTGGCCCTTTGAATTGCACTGACAAGCCTTCTAGTAACCAATGCAGAGCTGTCATATGCCAATATTGTAACTGGCCTCTGGGTATACGTGCTGTAATACATACATTCTTGATCACCCGAAATTTCTGGATGGTCTTCAAGGGTTTCCCTGTGTAGAATGAATTACAGTAACCTAATTTGGAAATGACCGGGGCATGAGTGCATAGCAAAGCAAAACCCCATAAAGTCAAAGATGGAGAAGTTGGCCTCTGGAGCAACAGCCACTCCATCTGGTTTGGGTTAAGTCTGAGCCTGTTTTTCCCCATCCAGACCGTGACAGCCTCCAGACACCGAGTCATGTCTTCCACAGCATCTCCCAATGGGCTTGGAATGGAGATATATACCAGGAGAATAGGACAAATAGTAAGTCACAGACCAAGAGATGGAAGTCAAAGTGGGGAGTGTTAATCAGAGTTCTAGGCAAATATATTGGCAAAGTGGCAGCAGAAAAATAGCTTTACAAAAATTAGCCCAAACAGTAGGCTGCTGAATTATCTTACAGACATCCCTGACCAAGTAGATGTACAAGATGTTCTTCGCTGATCACAAACAACCTGTCTACAGTGACTGGGCATAAGCAGCACAATCTCTTAAAAGGCAATGCTTCTTCTTATTTCATTGTTGAATTATTATTATTATTATTTTGAAGCAAGCAAGCATCAACACAGGTATCTTTTCCCTTCTCCAGCAACTCCTGCCATTTTTTCCATTTTTTAAAATTTCTTTTGTTATTGTTTCAAATAAATAAATAAAAAGCCTGATAAAAGCTCTGCTCCTTTATACAAATTTCCTCGTCAATTATGGAAGCCAGGACATTGCATTATGGCAATTGATTAGAGCTCAGTACAAATAGGAATGGTGTAAATATCAAGGATTTTATTTGTTGAAAATATGGATAAAGTTGCTGGATTATAGTGCCCTCTAGTGCTTGTAGATTAACATATTTTTAAGATTTAAGTAGTGATTTTGAATGTAACTTTTAAGAACAATTTTTGGTTACTTGCATGTAATTTTTTTAATTCTACAGATTTGTTGGTAATTTATATTTTTTTCCCTTTAATTTCCAATCTATAGATAGAGAGTCAATATTTTTCAACAGCCACAATGTATCAAAACCAGAATCCTCTTCCATCTTAACAGCAGTAAGTATTCTAGACTTCTTTCTCCAAACACTGATTCTACCAATAGAAGCCTCTCAATTTAACACTGTTCTTCTCAGGTTTATTTTTAGGAATTATTGTAGGAAAGCAAAAGCTCAGAATCATCCAAAATCTTTCACAAACATATCTGAAAATGTTTTTTTTTTCCTTGAAACATAGGAATTATAATACTTGGTTAAGAACCATTCATTCAGTGACCAATCAAAATTACACAGTCTCTAGGTGAATGGTCCTTATGCCCAGTCCCCAAAGTTGGGGCTCTTGCAGCTCTGCACTTATGACCACAGGGGGGCCTTCAGCTCTCCCATCCACCCACCCATTTCTTTGCCCCTCCGCATCGCTGCCTTTTTGGCTGCCATGCAGTCTACTGCCTCTGCTAGCCCTGCCACCTTAGAGTTGACATTTTGTCCCCAGAGTTATGGGATTTTGTCATTCTGGAAAGATTTCAGACATTTTAAAATATTGAACTGTGGTATCTGCAGATGCTGTGTTTCATGTCTGGAGGAAATGTGAGGATACCTGTTTTTTATTTAATATCCCTCTACAATTTCATTCTCTGTCTTTCTTTTGCAGCTTGATAAAATAGAAGGGGTGTTCGAGAGACCAAATGATGACGTTATCCGAGCAATCTCAAAGACACTAAGACAGACTTTGGGGATTTCTCTCTTTGGCATTGACATTATCATTAACAATCAGACTGGTCAGCATGCAGTCATTGATATAAATGCATTTCCAGGTGAGAGCAAACTGATATATACAATACACCAAAATACAAATATCATACTTCAAAGTTAACATTCATTTCAAGCAAGAGTGCAGAATATTTTTCCCAGACAAAGCCCCAGAATTGTCCTTTCATAATATACATTATATATATTATGTAAATCAGATTAAATCAAATCAGATTAAATACAAATAATAGGATTTCATCCACTTCTATCATAATAAAAAGTATTTTTGAGATACCCTGAGGATTCCAAACTCTGGCTTCCCCCTTTAAAAATTTTAAAATATACTCATTCTCAAGACATGGATGAAGAAACCTAGATCCAAGAACCATGTTTTTGGATCTAAGTTCAGCATCAATACTTCTGTCAGAATTTTATCCTTGCCTCAACAAGTTCAAGAGCAGACAGGTAATCTACATGAGTAAGATCCTCCATTGAGTTAGAAGCTCAAATTATGCAATGGATCCTTTACAATTCTAAGTACAGGTAGTCCTTGACTTACAACAGTTCATTCAGTGACCATTCAAAGTTACAGCAGCACTGAAAAAAATGACTTATGCCCATTTTCCACACTTATGACCTTTGCAGCATCACGTGAAGTGTTAATACGACTTTATAATGCCTTGGTACGGCCACACTTGGAATACAGCAATCAGTTTTGGTCGCCACAATGTAAAAAAGATGTTGAGACTCTAGAAAGAGTGCAAAGAAGAGCAACAAAGATAATTAGGGGACTGGAGGCTAAAACATATGAAGAACGGTTGCAGGAATTGGGTATGTCTAGTTTAATGAAAAAAAGGACTAGGGGAGACATGATAGCAGTGTTCCAATATCTCAGGGGCTGCCACAAAGAAGAGGGAGTCAAACTATTCTCCAAAGCACCTGAGAAGCAATGGGTGGAAGCTAACCAAGTAACCATTTGTCTGAAGTAGTTTAGAGTTTCCTGCCTAAGCAGGGGGTTGGACTAGAAGACCTCCAAGATCCCTTCCAACTCTGTTATTCTATTCTATTCTATTCATGGTCACAAGATCAAAATTCTGATTCGTATTTATGACAGTTGCATTCTGATAAGCAGTTCTGATAAGCAAAATCAATGGGGAAGCAAATTCACTTAAAACTGTGTACTAACTTAACTGCAGTGATTCACTTAACAACTGTGGCAAGAAAGGTCATAAAATGGGGCAAAACTCAATGTATCGTTGAGCACAGAAATTTTGGGCTCAATTGTGGTTGTAAGTTGAAGACTACTTGTACATATAAGGTAACTGTATACACACCAACTGCAGGCAAATTGTGTTTTTTGAATGTTTTGGACTGCAATTCTGTGGTTTGTTTTTGATCATGCTAGGTAAAGCTGACATTGGAAAGTTAATAAGGTAATAGTAACTTGGTAAAACACATATTCAGATGTAATATGTTATCACAAATTGTTTAACTTTCTCCAACCTGAGTGCCTAACAGTGGTGTGGATCTCAACTTTCATAATGCTGCAGTAGCATGGTTGTCATTAAGGACATCTGTGTCCAACTGTGTATCTGAGGCACACTTAAGATGTGGAAAGATTGCATAAAGTGTACTTATGAAACTGTAAATTAATGCAGAAACCAGACTTTGCTTTTATTCACTGCTACAGTATATTTTTATTGTCTTCAACCCTGTAGCTGATTTCATTAGTAATGTAATTAACAATAGCTTTTTTCCTCCTTTCAGTTAACTGGCTGCCTCTAGATATGATCAATTACTATCCAATTTAGATCCATTTGGTTTCTCTAGTAGCATTAAGTTGGGCACTTCCAGATCTTGGGCGACTTTTCATCAGTCGAAAACCAGCTACTTTTCTATAGATTTCATTTGGTCTACAAATAAATTGGTACTCTAAGAAATACAGGCTGCAAAACTATTTAATTTATTTATTTATTATCACATTTAAAAACTGAATTATACCAAACTATGAAGGGAAGCAAAAGAAATGCTGGGTTTTTAAAAACATATCTTTTTAAAAAGTATATATTGAAGTTCAAGAACATTTCAGAAGAGCTCTGCTGTTAATCTGTTTAAGATATGAACAAGAATGTTAGATTCTTGAGATGTGTTTCACAAAAACAAACCCAGCCTATTCTCCCAAATCGGTGTGGTTTCAGTTTGATTTTAGTGTCAGTAGAAATGCATTCATTAGAGGTACTATTTGGTTTTGGGCTTCCAAGCTGTTCTTTCCTATTTTCACTGAGTGTTCGCTCAAAATTCTGCAGAGCAAATTCATTCTAATTTTCTTCAGAAAATTAAATCATCTATTTTCTCACAGGAGACATCTGCTAATACTATCATTTTCCTTGCTTTTAAAAAGGATTGGGGAATGATTCAGCTTCTGAGACATTAAGTCTCAACCTGGTGGCCTCTTGCATACAAAAATGTTACTGCCCCAAAGCTAAGTGGTCCTTCCATTGAAATTGGCTTCACAAGGCACTTAAAATGACTTCTGTTGCATTGCAGCATCCCAATAAATTCCAAATGATCGCATTGCACTGTGTGTACAGGGCTCATATACACCTTTTACAACAGCAAATATATTTCTGACAAGCATGATGCAATAAGATATTCATTACATTAAACGATTTTACAAGAAGCACTTATGTACAACAAATTTCATTTTACATACAATGTACTTCCTCCTGAGAGGAGCTGTTCCTGAGAACAAGAGGTGGAATGGGACAATATATAATGCTAAATTGAAGGGCAGCGTAAGACTTTGATTGAAAATGGAAAGTTAGTTCTTTGAATTAAACTCTAACTAATACAAGAAAAAGTTCAGGATACGTCTCTCCTGTGTTTAGATTAACATTTCTTGCCATGTCTAAAAATGTCCAGGTTTCTCTCCATAGTATGTTTATCCTACTGTGTCAAGAGGAATTATCATTTCTCTGGAAAAAAAATAAGAATATCTCTTAAAAGCATTGCAGGAATCTGGCAATGTGTTTTATATCACTATATTGTAGCATCACCTTTGGAGAAGCAAGGTTTTTAATCCCCCAGTGAATCTTTCCATCTAATCTGAGTTCTGTGCCTATCTCTGTAGCAGTCATGCATCAATTAATATCAATGACATTGATCAGGAGAAAGGAAACAGTCTCTTAGAGCTTCCTTTGTTCAAAACTTTTGTACTTTTAAAAAGAGCACTTAACAGAGAAATAAAATATGGGAGACGTTTTAAAGACATTTTTAAAAGAAAAAAAAGTGATATTTCCAGGAGGTAGAGCACACAAGTTGGTGAATTATCGCTAAAAGTGATGTGCCATCTTCTTGCGTATGAAGGGGGAAGAGAACTTTAACAAAAAAAACGGTAGCCATAGCTAATGTTTTATCGCCTGACTTCTTCATTACTTTCAGGATATGAAGGTGTCTCAGAGTTTTTCACTGACCTCCTGAACCACATAGCTACCACCCTGCAGGAGCAAACTCCAGAATTGTCCCAGCTGAACCATAACAAATTCTTGGCAGAGCAGAGCAGCAGCCTCGTGGGGGAGCGGACATGCTGTGCTAACACTAGCTGCCGGAGCATGGCAAGCCAAGACCCCTGGATTGTGGAGAACGAGACCAACAGCTCAGTCAAGCTGCAGCACCAGAGGCTGGGCTGTAACTCATCCATGTCACCGAGCTTTCAGCAGCATTGTGTGGCCACGTTGGCCACAAAAGCTTCCTCTCAATGATCCCTATCTGTGCCACAGACTGAGAAAGAAAGCAGTCAGCCCCTGGGCTGTGAATTCAGTGTAATTTTTTGAAAGAAAGTGAAATTAGTGATATGGGTCCACTTTAACAGATTCCTCTTATAGTTCTATAGTGAGTTTATCCATCCATGTATGGGTGCCTGTTGTGTGCATGTATCTTAAACACTATATCTTAAATGTGGGAGGATGGATTTGTGTTTTTTTTCCCTATGCCTTTTCCTTTTCTTGTAATCATCGACCAGAGTTGGGTGATGAATCGTCTCGGATTGATAAGAATTTGTGTTGAAAATTTGCACACTGGGATTCAACACCCTTCCATCTTTTTTCCAGCCCATTCCAAAGAGTAAAACATGCATTGATTGTACACCTAAATCCAGAGGAAACCTGCATACCCAGGATCAGCATTTTACTTCTTCGTGGAAAACTTCGAAGTTAGAAAGTGCTTCAGATAGTTTCCCATTTCCCTAAAGAAGAATAATGCCTGGGTATTTGTTTGCTGTTGTGAAAAACTATAGGTTGATGTAATACTGCCCTTAATCTCATTTGGGGGCAGAGGACGTCTTAATTGTTGGAGGATTACCACATCTAACATAAGAACAAGCTAGGGAGTTTGGCTTTTTCTGCTGCTTTACTGATCCTGAGACTAAAGGACATCACTTTCACGTATTTATTAACTGATAGGGTGGCTTATTTTTAGCTTTGTATGATGCACAGATCCATTCACTGTGATTTATAATTCATAGTTTCTTTGTTAGGGTGGGCTTGTGCATCATATTAAACAAAAAACTCAAATTGTGGATTAGCATTACATGTGATTTAGGGGCCTGTTTGTAAGCACTACTCTGCACAAGTATTTTTCCTTAGTGGTGGGTAGAAGTAAAAGTAAATTTGTTGAAGCAAATCAGCAGCAATTTGTCTCCATTTCTGGTCTATCATTTGTGGGGTTGAACAATTGAGATACAGTATAAGGGTAATATTTATCCAACCTGTAATTCAGTCTGGTTATATTTTAAGAACAAGTAACAAAACAACAGTGCATCTTTAACTCTGTTTCTTTCGACACAACATCATCTTTGTGCAGCTTTGAACTGGTCATTAATTTGAAAAGGTACTGTGAATGAGTTTTGGGACTCTTAATTTGAGACAATCTGTCTCAGGAAACATTGTTAAAGTATTTTACATATTAGATACATTTGGAAAGATTGATCATCATGAATTAGGGATCTATGGACTAATTCACACTCAGGTAATAGTGTGAATATATACGACATACATGCTACAAGTTGTACACATGAATCCCAATTTTTAAAAGGATAATATATTAGTAATATTTGCATACAGGCAACATTATGTGTTTTTTGATGGATTAAAGAAAGTTTGAATTCTCAGATTCTCTCAGTTCCTATAAAGATAACCCATTTCTTAATATGTATGAACTGATATTAATATATTTTCCTCTGCTGATGGCAGCTTTTTATTCGTTTCTTTGTTTTTAGAGTAAGGGGAAAAATGGAAATATCTGATGAAATATGAAAGGGAGGTTAAAAAGGGAGGACCAGAAATGATTCCAACTATGATGTAAGTGCAGGAAACTGTTCAAGAATTAATAGGAAGGAGAATTGCTATGTTCCTTTGTGGTTTTGTTTCTAAAGTTCTTCATAATTCTGCAATAGGTATTGACTATAAATAGCTGAAGAGACAACAATATTTGTAGATAGGTTTCTTATATGACACTATACAGTCATTTTGTTTATTTCTAATTCAAATTTGAGTCATATGATGATCCTGAATTATTGTCTATCTCAATAATAACAGTTACTGCAATTTCCCAATAAATTATTGATATTTCTCCATGCATATTTTACATGCCTTTGGTGGGAGTGAAAAATAGGTCAGAAATATTTTCATAAAACTTTTTTTCAATATAGCAACACTATTAAAGGTTACTGATATTTTTTAAAAAGATTGGATTTTAACATTACGCGCACCCACAAACACACACAAACAATACAAGCCAAAATTGTCCTGATGAAAGGCACCTTTGAACATAGCTGAGTCTCCCCCTCCCCTGTAATTTTAATTAAGGCAAGAGTATTTCATTGCTGTACTGAGCATTGCCACCCCCACCCACCCCAAATACTACCTCCTTGACTGCTGCTTGCATGGATCAAGAAACTAACAATTTGCAACAGGGTTCAAACCATCTTGTTCTTCAGCTTGTGGGAGAACCAAGGGAAGAGGCAAAATAAGTTAGTTCTTCTGGCATGTCTTCAGGGAACAAGCAATATTATCTGATTCAGAGGGTTATTATGACAATATTTTTAATTTTAAGGAAAAAAACCTCCCCCACATCATCATCATTTATACAATAAATTTCAGTTCTTAGGTGAGCAAGCTGGAAAAAAGAATGTTCCATCTGGTTTAGTTAGAAGACATTTCAAAATTGTTGATCAGCCTGGACTATTTGATCCAGTTTAAATATATTTCTGCTATTTCCTATTTTTAATAATGAGTAAGAATTTCTTTTAATGGCTGCCTTCTAAATTTTGGTTAGCCTATTTTGCACTGTTTTATTTCTCCAAAATAAACTACTGATACGTAATTGTACATTTTATATTTATTTACAAATGATATATTTCGTAAATTCTCCAAAGTCTTAATACAAAGTATATCTGATAAAAGTGCAGTTCATATCTTGACTTTAGCTAGAATCTAATTTAATTCTGTAGCCAAATAGGTTGTCGGCTTCGTTCACCCCTTGATGTAACTGCTGCTTATTTAAACAATTGTTGTTTATTTAAACAACAGTTCATACCTTGCATTTAGTTTAATAAGAATGTATTGCAAGAAGGCTGGCCAACAGACAGTTTGTAATCCTTTCTGTGGTTTTTTTCGTATCAGACTATTTTGTGTGGGATAAAATATGAATAATATTGTCAGGTTCCAGAGAGAGCACAGTGTGCTATTACATTACAGAGCACTGAGCATATGGTACTAAAAAAATGAGTGCAAAATCAATTATTTCATCTCTGTTTGGTTGCAGCAAATTTCTTGAACTCTTTTTCAATCTAAAAACACTGCCATGTGTTCCTCCCCAAGGGCGATTTTATGTGAGAACTGAAATGTGCTTTACAGCCTCCCGTTTGTCAGAGATTGAAGATAAACGTGTCTTTTTTTTTCCTTCTGGAAAGCCCTGGGAGAGGAGGGTTGTAGTTTGGTTGTATGATTCCAATTTTTTTCAACCTGAAAGGCCAAGCTCTACTTTTGAGGGTCTGTTGAGTAATAGCAAAAATGTTGCCAATGCACGTAGGTCCCAAAAGAAGCATTACTGGTGTTGTTAAATATTGAAGGACAATTAAAGTAGACAGACTTAAATGTACACAAATAGCATCCGTGTTTGATTTGTTTAAGGAAGTGTAACTATCCATAACTGCATCTCTACTCGTGGCAGGAAAATAAGAAGTAACTTTGTAAACATTTTTTTCCACTTTTCAGTATATATACATTACAAATAATCTTTTGTGCCTCTCATTAGAATGTTTCTTTGTATAAAGCTAATTTTCAGTACTATACTTTAAATTTCTACCAGAAAATCAGTCCATCTTCCTTATTAGAGAAATAAGTGTTTGGATGTAAAATTCCAGAAAAATCTTAATGTGATTAAAAACAGCTAAAAATGTAAAACCTCAGTAGACCTGACTTATCACATTCTGTTCAAAATCTGAGGAAGATTACATGTTAGATTTATGTGAGTGAATAATATCTGCTCCATGGCTAGATTACCCTAACTAATAAATGAGAAATAATTGGTACTAAAAATGGTTAAAACTTAAAATTTTTACTCTACAACAAATATACTTTTTATATCATAAATAAGCTAAAGATCATATTAAGAAAGAGTTTAAACCTTTTCAGGTTAATTTCAAAATATGGTAATTGATTACATTTTATATAGGCTGTTGTTCCTTTGCTTTATATAATCAGTTATAAATGGTAATTCATTTAATAAATACTGGAAATCTACTTTTTAAAAAAAATGAATTTAAGCTAAGAAATGATTAACTAGAATTATTAATTACATAACATCAGAACAAAACATGTGCTCTGTCTGAGTAACATAATTATTTTTTAGACACATAGTATAAAATTCTCCACTCTTAGACAAATATATCTTGGGCTTTTTCTTCCATCTGCATCTGGATAAGCAGATCAAGATTTTTTTTGAATCAGCAAACCTCTTATCAGCAAGGGCTCTCCTAGTTGGCAGCTTCCTTTCCATGCCTGATAACTCAGAAGTGCAGATAACTGTAGGTTGTTCTGAGCATTTTATAAGATCTTTTCCCAGAATGTTTATATCATGCTCAGTTCTACTGCTAGCCTGTTCTTGATTGACACCATTGTGTGAGCTGGCAAGAGCAAACAGGTACGTGACGTGGCAGACACCTGTGGATCGAATTTGGTCTCCCAAACATTATTTAAGAATAAAGTAATGCTGTTTTCAGAAGCGCCAGGTTGGTGTTTTGACATCAGTTTTTAAATCCCCTTTTTTTCTAGAAAAGGGTCTTGAGCCATTTTTATTGGGAATGTAATGCAGTAACTATTGGTGTCCCAGTGGTATTCAAAGGGAATAGACATTCCTTACTTTTTATTCTCAAAATATGCTATGGTAGCCTGTCTTAAGAAAATTATTCATGGCACTGAGCTATACATATGAAGAAAGAATGTTGGACTTACCTACAATACCAAGATACTGATTTTTTTTTTTTGTTTTTGCTGTCTTCATATAACTGTTTACTCCCTTCTATTCTTAGTTTCTCCCTCCTGTTTCCATCTATATAAATATGAATGAGTTACTTGATTTGTTGTCTGCAGAATGTTTCCTTTTTGAACCCATCATATGTAAAGTTGGTGGTGTTCAAGAAGAAATACACTTCCTTTATAAAAGCACTTCCTCTTTTGAGACAGTGTAATCTTCCATTTTTATAAGTACTTGATACACTTTTTTAAGTGTATCAAAATAAAATTTTTCCTGATGTAATTTGCGAATAATATTTAAGTCTGTCAGAATATGTAATTCACCACTGATTCAGTTCAATCTTAGTAATATAAAAAAATCAAATTTCCTGATAAATGTGGTCCTCATGAGGGCAAGAATTACCTATGATTGTGTCAAAGAAACTGAGTGCTAACTTTTTCAGAGGCTCTTTACATTTCTTTACTAAATATTGTCTTCTTTAATGTTTGAATTGTGTTCCAAAATGGCAAATCAGTACAAACCAATCCAGTTTTCAATAACAGAGCATTCCTTCCTCAGTATCTCAATAAAGTTAGCTAACACATTTTATTTAAGAATGGCTTTATAAAAATATTACTCTGTATGCAGTTGGGACTAAGAATATATAAGAAGAGGAAAAAGTTGTTCCTGGATTATGGAATACTGAATTCAGTTTCCATTCAATTCAAGTTTTCAGAATTAAAATTGCTGTGTGATAGTGAAGAATTCAATTAGTACAACCTCACCTGCAGTCTGAATTAGTATGGTCAAGAAACATATTTATTTGCTAGGTTCAAAGAACCAACCGGTGTTTTGTAACAAGTTTCCTTTAGTCAAACCCACTTTTGTAAATTGCATCTATTTTCCTTGTGATCTATTGTTTGGTTTAATCTTATTTTCACAGGACATAATCCAACAATTTGCTTATAATGAAAAATTGAGACATAAATTCTCAATGCGCTGTTAGATTTTACTTTAGAAGACACTACCAAAATATTATATGTTGTAATGATAAGGATATTGGGTGGAGGAGGAGACTTGTTTGCAAGTAGTTTATGGCCCATTGGCACTTGTATCTTTCACCATTCACACAGCAACATCTTAGTGTATTGTTTAGTATGTGAAAGGACTCATATTTATAAAATGCAAATATGTAAGTATAAAAATAGTGACATCTATGTTTCAGTTTGTGTGCACCCTTAAATAATAGGGATTCTTTCATGAAAAAAAAGTGCAGTAAAAATATGGGATGTATTTTTTTTTCCAGTTCTTTAGAATTCTTCCTTGGTGTTTTCGTATAGTTCATATGTCTTCTTCTGTGTTCAATTCCAGTCAATGTCCCAGTGAATTGGACTCATCTCTATGCTAATATGGATTGTACATCTCTTTTTCTTTTTACCCCTTCACCTCTTCCCATCTCCTTTTTATTTTTTGGATGGGACAGAATTTGTGGAAAGTTTTACAAAAACTTAAGGCATGCTTAAGCATTTTATCAGTTCAAAGTTGAAGTTATCTTGGACCATTTCTTTATTATGTCACGTTTGAATTAAGGATATCAATGCTGTCTTCTGCTATTTTAGATAGTGTTATAGCAAGTGTGAGTGTTGTGATTCGCTTTGGCCCTGTTCACAAAATTACTTTCATAAAATTAAATTTTTTCGTATTTAGAGTGTCTGTGTGTACACAACGATACACACATGCATATAAATATATATGATTTCATTTTTTAAAAAATAGCCCTATATAAAACCAAAAATATTAGTACCTTGGCTGTTTACTTGTAGTGCATGACTGACGTCCTTCTCAATAATCACATGGTGCTTCTCTTGCTTAAATCATTGATTTCCATAATCTTTTTTCTTCATTTCATCCTTATTTGCCAAACACTTGTGACAAATATTTTACTATTTTAACCATAGAGTTAAAATGCACTTAAATCTCCTCTGTTGTTTCAATGTCTGCTTCAGGGAGAAAACTCCATTTTCCAAAAACATGATTAAAATAAATGCCTTATACAAAACCTCATTCTGTGTTCTGGTTAATGACTGAAATATTGTATATCTGAATTTGTTGATACACCTTTGTATACCTAAATTATGTATATTCTGAGAGATTGTAACATGGCGTGAATTTGTTCAACTTTGGCACCAAGCACTTATTTCCATTTCAGTGAGATCAGGCTTTCTAACCCTATAATCTCCACTTTATGCACTTCAGAAATCTTACACCAGAAAAGTTGTCTTCCTCCTCTGCTAGTTTATTTTTACCAGGGATACCAGGAATGCAGTCTCCAATTTCTTTGCATGACAATATAATTTATTAGATTTGTAGGGAGACCCAATTCAAATCAGTTCTGGGCAATGTACCATATTAACAATGAATGAAAATGATCAAAAATGGCTTGGGGTACCTCCACAACTACATGAATACACTTGAAGACCCCACCCATAAAGCTAATTAAAATCCTGGGAGAAAACCCAAGTTTTGAGAGCTTTTTGAGGGTGGCATCAGTGCCAGAGAAAGCAGAGTTCCAGGGTCCCATTGGTTGACATTTTATCAGCAGGACTTGGGCATGCCAATTCCGTCAGATCAGATGGAAAGGATTAACACTGGGAGATAATCCTTCAAGTAGCTAATAGCTAGGCCTAATGCTGTAGGGGGGTTAAAAGTAATAACCGGCTCCTTGAATTACACTTGAAAGCCTTTTGTTAGCCCCAGTGCATCTCCTAAATCAAAAGATGTTAGCTGGATATACTGAAGCATACAAGTAACTGCCCAGGTTGCTGCATTCCGGATCAGCTGCAACGTCTGAGGTATTCAAGATCTGAGGTATAAAAATATGTTACAAGTCCATATGTGAAGTGACCAAAGGACTTGTGGCCAAAAAGAGTACAATTAGAATAAAGGTGGATCTATGTAAATACCTTTTTAACCAGAGCTATTGCCTGTTTTTCAAACAGAAGTTGCAGGTTCAAAAAACCCTTAAATTGCTCACTAACCCTAAGTGAGGTAATATAACCCTTCCTAGGTGGTGGTTATGTTTGCAACTGTATTTTGGATGTTATGAGCTGCCTCAGAATCTATCTGAAGGGGAAACTTAAGAAATCTAAATCCCCATTCACCAATTCTAGGAGACCCAAATATCCATACCCCATCCAGACCCTCAGGGCCTCCAGGCACTGGGACAGCTGATTTACAGTACTATCAAAATGACCTATCCAGCTGATGAATACTGTGGCCTTATCGGAGTGAAATCCAGCAGGTTCTGGAGAACCAGTAGCAGAAACTTTGAGCAGTTCGAAGAACCAGTAGCGGAAATTTTGAGTAGTTCCAAGAACCAGCAAATGCCACCTCTGGCTGGCCCCAGAGTGGGATGGGAATGAGGATTTTGAAGTATCCTTCCCCTGGAGTGGGGTGGGAATGGAGATTTTGCAGTATTCTTCCCCTGCCACGCCCACCAAGCCATGCCCACAGAACCGGTAGTAAAAAAAATTGGATTTCACCACTGGGCCTTATACTCCTTTACTTGGCTGGCATAGTTGATCTGCGGAGGGCAAAAATAGTTCATTAAAAATAGTTACATTTTAGGAATAGGCATGGGTTTTTATTTTTGTCTTTCTGTTTCTTCCTCTCAATTCAGAGGACTGCTAAAAGAAAAGCTTCACTTTGTATAGCATTCAAAGAGGCTATTTGAAAAGTTATTGGTGCTTATTGAAGTTAAGCCAATGCCTGCAAATTGCCCATCCTGCTTTAGAAAGTACAACTTTCCTTTACCCTGTATACAGGCCAGGTTTATTCACTGAGCTACTTTTTAAAAACTTACCTTACAAAAATATTAGATTTATTCAACAAACCAGGGGAATTGTGTGTGAATCTATATCTCTACACAGAATCCAGAATCAGCACTTTAATCACTGCACTATCTTGGGCCTTTGCAAAAATGTTACCCAAAAGTATATTAGATTGCAGCTGAAATAGGCAAAGAAGGGAGACAAGATTGTGTCATTATTTTTCTCCTTAGTTTTTATATAGAATATATTGCAGTCAAGAGTGCTATCTTTAAATCAGAAGGTTAACAAGTTATTGCAAGTAATTTTATCCAGGAAATCTAATGGGAGAAATAATTCTAGAAATCTGATAATGAAGGAAAAAGAGGAGGGGAAAAGAAATAACAGGAGAGGAAATTATAAATTAACCCCCCCCCTTTTTTTGCGCAATAGAGAATACATGAGTTAAGTCATACTGCTTGTTATGCAGTAATCCAAACATTTCAAAATAAAATGATTACTAAAGCAAGCAGAAAGCAAATAAGCAAATAATGACAAAAAGCAAGAAAGCATCGCAACTAGAAAAAAAGAGAAATGGTTGATTTTTTGTTGCAATACAGGCTTCTGCAAAAAAAATAAAAAAAATCTCCTCCTCCATTATTACTTTATTGTTTTAAAATAAAATGCAGTGTTTAAAACAGGGATTCAACATTTCTGGTGTCTTGCTCCCATGTTATGGTGCATTAACCTCTTCTCAGGGCGTGGAGCTTGCGAGCAACTTTCTCCAGTTCCGCTTCAATTGCAGCCAAGCTTTCCAGTTCTTGGTCCTAAAAGAGAAAAAAAAAGTGTAATGATGCAAATCATTAAAGCAAAATGATGTATTCACTTTACTGTCCATCTCTATCCATGTACTAACCAATGGATTCAAAAGTGTTTAACTTTTAGGAATTCAGCCAGTGTTGGCTAGGTGCATTTATACAGTTGATTTCTATCAAGTTGGACTAAGGATCTATCTTCCTCCAATTTAGTACTCCAGATGTTTGGAATGTAATTTTCATAACTCAACAGTCAAATTCACTTCCTATATCCATTAGCCTGTATCAAATGCCAGGAGAGGGGTTATATCTGATACAGGTTCTAGTTTATGGAAGAGTGATCTGTACTATTTGGCAATAGTTCTACAAATTCCCATCTATCAGCCTAACCTAAAATAGCTAAAGACCGAACCTCAACTTTCAGTGTCTACTATGATTCTTCTCTGGCTTCATTCTTAGGATATTATACCATTCTGGATATTGGAAAGGCACAGCCTGCAGCACAAAATGATTCCATGGAGCCAAGCACAAGAATATTCACAAGATCCTGTTTGCTGAATTCAGTCCATAAGATAAAACTATAAGAAAAAGCCAATTTAGATTTTCGTGATGCCAAAAAGAATTCATGCTTGTGAAATACAGTACTTCATGAATAATTACAATTGACGGTTACTATCTTTAGTAGCCCAACTATTGTTCTTGCATGAATGGATGTACATGTCTGAATGGATGCACCCCTGTCATATTTCTTTTTCCTCCCATGGGTATCCAAACAAGTATGGAGCAATGAGACAAAAAAAAATATATTTCCTTCTTCCTTTTCTCCTTGTACTCAGCTGATGGCAAAGAGTTTTCTTCTCCTACAGGTACCTGAGCAACTGTTGCCAAGGTTCTCTTGTTGATTCCCTGATGCATTGTTATTGCAATTCCATGAAAACCTAGGCTAGAAAGGTGAAAACAAGCCAAAATAGTTAGAATAGAAGAAAAGAAATAATCACCTGGTTTTGTGATTCATTCAGTGGGCTTATTTTGTTTTGGATACAAAGCTTTGCAGCTACCGAGCACCAAAGGAGAAAAGAGGCGTGTCTGTGGAGTAGTCCTTTATATATTGCCTTGAGTAAAATTAACTCCATTGTGTGGCCAAATGAAATAACTGCCTTGGGCTGTCACCTGTTTCCTTTCCACCTCTAAGTAACAGCATCCTAGTGATGGTGAGGCTGCTTTGTTACTGACTAGAGCAAGCTGGATATCTTACTTAATAATTTTCACTAAATTATATAACAGGTGGAATCACTTGAAGATTCTCTTCATCAAGAGATAGGGATCCAAGATGGTAATACATATGAAGCCACTGTTCAGCTCATACAATGCACATCAGCCCTACCACACTGTAGTATTTGTGCGAAGGAGCTGGTATTAAATAGAGAACTGAACAAACTGGAAGATCCTAGAGCATGGGTGTCAAACTCGCTGCGTCACATTGCCGTCACATGATGTTTTGTGACGTTTTTCCCATTCACGGCACTGGGATGGGCATGGCCTGCGCATGACACATCCGACCCATGGGCCGCCAGTTTGATGGGGGGGGAAAGAGAGATGTGTATTCTGATACAAATCACCTAATTGGCCTACTGCCATTAAGTTGGGCTCCCAAACTCCAATCTGTGGACCAGCGGCATGCCAGCAACTAAGCTGTACAAACAAGCAAAGCCCCATCTGCAGGATGCAGGCAGCATGCAAAATCATGCCCCCTCCGGTCCACAGAAAAACCTGCCTCCACAGAACCAGTCCCTGATGCCCAAAAGGTTGGGGGCCACTGCATTAAGTGACATGATGCTCAGTTTTGCAATAAGAATCAAATGCTAATTTTGTTGACTTCTATGTAATAAAGGGGGAAGAGTGGGGGAGCATCTCCTGCTTTCTTTAAGGCAGCAAGCTACCTTGGGTCAGCCTTATGCAGATTATAGTATTTCAGCAGTTGACCTGTCAACAGGGATGAGTAATTCTAGTTCACTCCCTAAAAACACTTACGAGAACCCGAGGCCATAACAATTTTGCCAAAAGTTTAGGGATATTATTTATTTCAGTCCTTGAGTTGAAGCTGCAATCAAAAGGCAAAGGGCTATCCAGCACTGGGAAAATCAGGAGATTCAGGCAGTTCAAATGAGTATACAGATTTATTGCAAGCTTAACTCTACAAGAATCTGGCCAAGTTAAGCAAGGAATTAAGAATTAAGCAAGGAATTCAAGGTGGGCTGGACTTAGATCTCTTGTGGGTGCACAGGAACTCATGATTTATGACACATTTGACCCCTCCCTCAAGCACAGCCTGGTCACCACCTACAAGGGCTTTGGAAATATATTTGAAGATTATTCAGATTCAGAGCATTTTAATGGAATGATCTCAAAGATTTCTAGCTTTTGAATCTGGAACTTTGACCAG